AAAAAAAAAAAAAAAAAAAAAACCAACCCAAAAAACAACAACGAAAAAAAAAAAAAGGAGAAAAGAAAAGTTATGCTGTGTTATTCAGGGAACAATGATACAAGAAAATAAATCTGTACAGATGCCCCCAGGTATTTTCGATGCCTGCCTAAGCATGTATGAAATCCTGAGTTCAGTCTCCAATACCAAAAAGCAGGTCAGGGGACAGGAAATTGGGTCCTACCAGTTTGGATCATTTGAAATTAGAAATACCTTAGTATGATAAACTTTGAAAGGAAAATAGGCATTTTCATAACTGCATTATGCAGCCAGAATAAAATAAGTGTTCCCGCCGCAAATGCCACAGCAACACCGTAAATTTCTCATCATCATTTAAATTGAGAGATTCAAAATTATGGTTTATTTCTTACATTTGTTTTTAAAATTTAGTAGCATATTTCACTATTAGCATTCCATTTGTGTATAAACTAAGATTACTTTGGTAAAGAGTTTTATTCACTTATGATTCTAGTGGGCAATATAGTGAACTCAGTTTACTAACTATACTTATTCTGTGTTGCCTTACCTTACAAAGTCTGAGCGAAAGCCAAGGCAGAAACTGCTGTTTGCACATTGCTCTTGTTTCCTTGGCTGCACTGGGCTCTGCTAACTTTTCGTGTTGTTGGGCTGTTAACAGTTCGCATGGACTCATGTCACTTTACTGATAACCGTCACCCAGTCGCATCTGGTCATCCAAAATCTGTTTGAAGGCATGATCTGGTAAGGGGATGACATTACACTGTCGTAGTTACGTCCGTAACACTGGGCTGTGTCTCCCAGATGTCCACATCAGCATACTATGTGCTGCTCTTCTGTCCTATTAAAATTACTGAGTTTGCCTGTTGTTCCACAGTGCTTAGGCTTCATTAACAACCGGAAACTTTCTTAAAATTCCAAATGAAGTGCAGAAAGTCCGCACAAAAGCCCCCGGTATATTTTCAGAGGCCAATACATCTTACTGGGACTTTTATAAAGCACAGATTTCAGAAAGAGTTTAGTATTTACGTGAAATGTGAGAAGAATATGAACGTTTACTTGTCAGCAAGCGTGTGCCAGAGACGCCTTTTCCAGCATTTAGGGAAAAGTCCGGTGGTTTCTCCCCGGCTTCTGTGAGGAGTGAGTTTCTAGATTCCAGAGGTATGGAATTATAGTTCTGCAGCAGTGCTGTGAAGATTCAGAGAGCAAAATTGTAAGCTTAATAGTCAAAATTAGTTGGGACAAAGGCTTAACATTTAAAAAAAAATGATTATATCCCCCCCACCCATTCATTTTAAGCCCATTAATTAAAATAGTATAAAATTATTAGGTCTATTAATGTAAATTTTATTCCCTGGTAGTGTCATGTTTTTCACCAACACCCTCGTGTGTGCGTGTGTGTGCATATGTGTGTATAAACACTTGAAATCATTTAAGTTTGTCTGCCATATGAAAACTTTTCTTGAGGGGGAGCAGCTTCTAAAATAAGTAGATTATGGGCTTAACACAATCACAGAATTGGGGTAAAAATGAATAATTTTTCCGAGAAGAGAATTTGCTTTAAGGGTTTGGTATAAATTTATCAGATTATGCTCTAAACGGGTTGACTCATTTCTATTTTAAAAGATTACTTTTCTTAAAAGAAATTTTACTTTTTGTAACTCATAAAATTAAGATTTAAGTGTCCATAACCATAGAAATTGATTATTTAATATTTTTCTTAGCCATATTCTCTTAGTATGTTAGTTTATTTATACATTGTGATCTCCTTAATTGCTAAATGAGGAAATAATATTTACTGCTTCTACTAATGTTTTGCCAAATGTTAGCTTTGGGCTGGGCTGAAGCATAATCCGAAGGGTATTACATTGGTTCATTATGACTCATAAGTCTGTATGAATATTTATTGCTTAATCATATGGACTTTTTCTCTCCTGACTTTTTCTTTTTTAAAGGTTCCTTGTTCCAATATCAAGTGTTATTTGCAATGACATTACTGCTTACCTTTTTGGATTTTTTTTTGGAAGAACGCCATTAATTAAGGTAATGAAAAATGTTACATGCAAGTCACTCCCACCTGTAACCTTAAAAGCTGTCCACTGGAGGACATTTTCAGCCACTCAGCAGTGATGCACATTGCCTTCTATCTAAAATATGACTTTTACACTCAAACTTGTTTTATGCAAGTAATAATAAAAAAGATTGAAAGAAAAGTACAAGCAGATTGTTGCCACATAGTTTGGTCGTGCTTATAGGTAGTGGAGGCAAAACAAGAAATGAAATGCGTTAGCCAGGCTTGGTGGTGCCTACCTGTATTCCTCGCATGGGGGGAAACTGAAGCAGGAGGATTACAAGTTCAAGCCCTACCTGGACAAAATAGCAGGACTTGTCTCAATAAAAAATAAAAACAACTGAGGATGTAGCTCAGTGCTAGAGAGAATGCTTGTGTTCAATCCTAAAAAAAAAAAAAAAAAAAAAAAAAAAAAAAAGTTCTACAGCTATTTTGAGTAAGAAAGAAATAAGCCAGTTCTTCTTGGAAATTATACCTTTTTCTTAGAATTAATTTTTCTAATAAAGAAGAACTTTTATGTTGGGGCTTCAAACAGGATTTATTGCACATATTGGGCAAAGCCTTCAGTACTCTTCCCACAGATAGATTACTTGGCTACTGTGATATTATTCGAAGGCAGTTTAGGCAGGGACTGAGCCCATGAGTTGGGTATAAAGCCTGTGTGTTCAAAGTGTTGTGGGTAGTTAGTGTTTGTGGAGGAATGGACTGTTTGTCCTTCAGAAAACCTTCCACAAACTCTTCTGTGGGGGCTGGGGTGTTGCTCAGGGGTAGAGCGCTTTCCTAGCATGCATGAGGCCTTGGGTTCAATCCCTAGTGCCAGAAAAAGAAAAAAATAGTCTCTTGAGAATCCAGCACAGTACCAGCCAGAGCTGTAAGGATACTGGCAGTGAGGTATGGACCTTTAAAATAGCTCTAAAGGGGCTGCAGTATGAAAGTAAGTTTAAGTATTCAAGAGGTATGTGTGAGCTGTTCTGGCTTAGAGCAACTCCTAGGACTCTAGACGGATCTCAGTGGCTAATATTGAATATAGCTTTCTAGTGCCTTTACAGGCTGGATTAGCTGTATAATATCTTCTGGCAGTTGAGTAATTAATCTCTAAACTGATCTGATGTGGATTAACTAGATTTGATAAATTATCTTTAATCAGTAAACTCTTGAATTTGAGATACTCCTGCTTTATGGCAACAATAAGGCTCAAGTTTATCTAGGAGGGAATGTGTCCCTTCCTTCTCTGTACAGCAGGATTCTTATCAGATTTGCTAAGAAACCATATCTGCCAACCATTTTGGTTTTGGGTTTTATCGGCATCAAGACAAGAGCTCCATAAATAGCTCAATGAGTTCACTTGTAATCCATTTCTAACCTCAGAAGGTTCCCTCTGAAATGTGGCTTCTGTCACTGTTCCATGGAACCAGTAATCATGAAGACTATCAGTGATCTCTTGACCCCAGCCTGTTATCTGCCCCAGCAACTTCGGGCAGTCTCCACCATCATCTGCTCCTAAATCTTTTCCTTTGGCCCCTGCATAGCTGTTCCAGACTTTCCTCCAGGTTTCTCTCTCTGAATGCCCCACTGACCAGAAAACCATAGCTCAACTCTGAAAACAAACAACATTTATTTTCAGAGATGCACCATGATCCTGTCTTTCTAGAGACTGGCATAGATTGTGAGGGGAGAAAAGGAAGTTTGTGAATACTTGAGGAACAAATACAATGTTTGGACTGTTGAGCATCTTACCATTTCAGAAAGAGATCTCTTTATGTATTGCATGTTAGGAATGTATGAAGCAGCATCTCTGTACATGTTACACTCATGCCTGTTTCGGTCCGTAGCAGGTCAGCACAGATTGTGTGTACCTCGAATGAAGATATGTCACCCTTACTCCAAGCAAGCATGGACATTGTAGAATACTTACTTCACCATACAGTAGATAGCTCTTTGAGGGGGGAAAATCTCAATAATGTGAAACAAATAGGCATTTGCCCAAGTAAATCAGAATCACAGAGTGAAGGAAAAAAGATTTTTAAACGGTTCCAATAAGAGAAAAGAAAGGAGGGAGGCACAAAGTATTAAGAGAACTCCTCGGCCAGGGTTTGCCTGTCTGTTGTGTTTTGTAAGTGCAGTAACTTTTTAATTTTATTTGACCTTTTTTAGTTGTCTCCTAAAAAGACTTGGGAAGGATTCATTGGCGGTTTCTTTTCTACAGTCGTGTTTGGATTCATTGTGAGTTTTACTAGGATTTTTATTTATATTTTTCAATTGCAAGTTTATTAGTCTGATTTAAACCTTAAAAAATAAACCACAAAATGCTGATAATATATTTATTGAAACCTGTTACACAGAATCAGCTCTGTACCCCAGGACCCTGGCTGCATACCAGAGTCACCTGCAGAGTTTAAACTCAATCTGTGTCCCAGCCTTGTCCCAGGGTGACTGACTTCCTCAGGTGGCTTGATGGACAGCCAGACTTGAGATCCACCTTTGTGGCATTGTGTTTTGATAGTTTCTTATTACTGTTCTGCCTTGTGGGGACATGGGTGCTAAGACTGTGGTGTCTGAGTGATAGCAGAGAATGCAAATGGTGTTAAAAACTCTACCCTCTTAATTCTTGGTGACCATGTGGCTCAATGGATGGTTCCTGTTATGAGCTCAATTTGCAGAAGTCTGTTAGTTATACATAATGTTAACTTTTAGCTATGAATAATGAATATTGTTCATGTTTTAAAATGAGTTTATAATTATGCAGAAAGTTTCAGTTTATATTAAAAGGTGTAAGAATAAAAGGTAAGAATCAGTAAGGTTACTGTAAATGACTAGATATAAGATAAATATGCAGGGCCAGGGATTTAGCTCAGTGGTTTCGCCGCCTGCCTTGCACGTATAACGGCCCAA